GTAATGTTGGAAGCCATCAGGACCATCAAGGTTAAATTTTTTCTCATCAGAAAGGACAACTTTCTTCCTCCTTGTAAAGTCCAAACAGGCAATTTTGTGGCGTTGAAGAAGAAGTGGCCTTTGAAGACGTTTTTTGTTTCTGAAGCCCTTCTCTCACAGATGCCGTCTGATGGTTATTGGGCTGCAGTCAGCACCAGTAATGGCCTTAATTTGGGTAGAGGATCGTCCCGTGTCTTGATGGACAGCCAATCGGATCCTGGGACTCAGAGCTGGTGAAATTTTTTTGGGTCTACAACTTGACTTTTTTTGTTCCATTACCCGCAGGATCATTTAAAAAATGCAAAATGATTGTCTTACTGTGTCCAACTTCAGCAGCGATGGCACGTTGTGAGAGGCCTTGCTTATGCAGCTCAACAATCCTACCACGTTCAAAGTCAGTGAGCTTTTTTGCYTTTGCCATCAGGAGGTCTTGACAGTGTAAAGACTTGACAGAAAATGACATGGAATCCAGATTTTTGCACAGCTTTTAGCTTTTAAAGACAATGGTCTTAAACGTTTGATCAGCTGAAAAAAATCATGTTTGAGTGTAAATGCAGTTTTCAGAAAATTCCCTGCTCAAAAGTTCTTGTCTCTTGCACTGATTTCTTCTTTTAACATTGTTAAATAATAATAATAATAATTCTACTTAGAACTTTCTTAAGATCCAATAGWGCAAAATGCAAATTCTTGCACTTTTTTTTAAGGTTAATATAATTAATCCAAAACCCTAACCTCAATTTAGACTACAGTCCATCCTACTGTGAGCTTCTTTAACAATACAAAATACCTTATAAACGCTCAGTTCTACTTGTTTCACTTTCTTCTCTGCACCAGTTTTCTTCCACATGCTCAGAATCAGAATCACAACTAATTTATATAGAGAAGAAAACCTCAGTATTTAAGTATCTTCAATATCTTCAACATCTTCTTTATTTCCTATCAGTCTTGTTAATGGAATGCAATAAAAGCAGAATAAAAGAAGACAGAAGCACAGGGTGACTTCATGGAAACAGAGAAAATGATGTCTAATTTCATGAAGACTAAAAAAAGCAAAACAGCAGAGAATGAGTATTAGAGAGCAATAGAGAGAAGAGTACAATGAGGAAAATGGGGAAATAGACAGTTAATGGGAGTGTTTGAACAGGCAGGTTTCATTGTTCTTCCTGGTGTATGTCTCCCCCCCCCCCCACACCCCTTTCCCAGATAAATGCTACTATTCACTCTGTCCATTCTGTCAGTGCTTCAAGCTCTGCTGAGTGATGAAAGAGGCTAAGAGTGCCGGGCTGTAAAGGGCTGAGTCATCAGCTACAGTGCACCAAACAACAGCTTCAAGACGCCCAGAGAAGCAGCCAGTGGCAACCTGCAGTACCAGCATAACCTGCATCACTGTCCTGCATCACTGTCAACAAGTATCACTAAATCAACATCAGACCTCAAACTTTAGAATGAATATAGGAAGACTTGGATGTGTCATCATGTGTTTGAAAAAATAAATCACTATCTTTTTTATTTCTTACCTCTTCTAAGTGTTTCTACTTTGCCTTTTTTCTTTGTATTTAATTTGAGTGCTTTGTGTGAAGTGAGTCCATTTACAACAAATCTAGAAGAGGTAAGAAATAAAAAAGATAGTGATTTATTTTTTCAAACACATGATGACACATCCAAAGTTTGAGGTCTGATGTTGATTTAGTGATACTTGTTGACAGTGATGCAGGACAGTGATGCAGGTTATGCTGGTACTGCAGGTTGCCACTGGCTGCTTCTCTGGGCCTCTTGAAGCTGTTGTTTGGTGCACTGTAGCTGATGACTCAGCCCTTTACAGCCCGGCACTCTTAGCCTCTTTCGTCACTCAGCAGAGCTTGAAGCACTGACAGAATGGACAGAGTGAATAGTAGCATTTATCTGGGAAAGGGGTGGGGGGTGGGGGGGGACATACACCAGGAAGAACAATGAAACCTGCCTGTACAAACACTCCCATTAACTGTCTCTTTCCCCATTTTCCTCATTGTACTCTTCTCTCTATTGCTCTCTAATACTCATTCTCTGCTGTTTTGCTTTTATTAGTCTTCATGAAATTAGACATCATTTTCTCTGTTTCCATGAAGTCACCCTGTGCTTCTGTCTTCTTTTATTCTGCTTTTATTGCATTCTGTTAACAAGACTGAGAGGAAATAAAGAAGATGTTGAAGATATTGAAGATACTGAAATACTGAGGTTTTCTTCTCTATATAAATTAGTTGTGATTCTGATTCTGAGCATGTGGAAGAAAACTGGTGCAGAGAAGAAAGTGAAACAAGTAGAGCTGAGCGTTTATAAGGTATTTTGTATTGTTAAAGAAGCTCACAGTAGGATGGACTGTAGTCTAAATTGAGGTTAGGGTTTTGGATTAATTATATTAACCTTAAAGTTGTTGCCTAGTCTGTAGCACTGCAAGTAGTGCTCCTAATTGATCCGAATAAATAACAAAATTTTTTTCAATAAATACAGCGGGTAAAATAAGTATTGAAACACGTCACCATTTTTCTCAGTAAATATATTACTAGAGGTGCTAATGACATGAAATTTTCACCATATGACGGTAAAAACCCAAGTGATCCATACATACAAAGAAATCAAACCATAAATGTCCAGAAATGAAGTTATTTGTAATAATGTGGAATGGCACAGGGAAAAAG